GAGAAAAAATGAAACACCTAATAGTATCTGGATATTATCAGAGATACATGAAAGGGTCAGAAATGATAAAGGAACAATCATTGGCTCAACAACTAAACATGTTGATTTTATTAGTTCATAGGTCACACAAGCACATACCATGTGAGAGCTAAAGCCACACTGGCAAACAGAAGGTGAAATTAGTCAAGTGTTTTCCTAATCTATTTTTTTTTTCTGAGATAACACATATTATGAACGCCTTAGTGAAAAAGAATGTGGACTCTGGAATTAGAGCTACATTAAAATGCTGGCTCTAAAAAAAAAAGAAAAAAAAAATGCTGGCTCTAATTCCTTAGGCCTAAATCCTTGAACAAGTCACTTAATCTTATTTTGCCTCAATGTTTACATCTGTCAAATGAGAGTCGATCATTTCTTCACATAATTCTCCTTGCCTTTTCACCTCTCCCTTTTCCTCAGGTCACAAGTCATTAAGATCAGAAATGGATTGGGATATAAAGCCCTCTCAATGGTTCTCCTTGATTCAAAATCAGGCCTTGAGCATATGTAGTTGGCCAGATGGCATGGCTCTCAAGGAGAAATACCACTACTATGGAATAGTCAAGATTTAAAGTACTGACTGGAGACTAGGGCTACAGCATAGTCTGCCATTCCTGATACTCCATCTCTCGCTGCCAAATGGCTAGAGAAAAAACTTTTACCCCTGCCGGCTCCTCTCTTATCTCTTTGTAAGGTTATTTAATGGAATTCTCCTACCATGGTGAAATAAGATGTGCCAGGGAAGGGATGGAGAGCTCCCTTCCCTGCATGCCTGCTCTTGTTCTTCATTTTTATGGAGGCCACATGATCACTCTGGATCCAAGGTCTAGGTTCCCTAGGCCTAGGCATTAGCATTCTTCATATGCCCAGGCTAGCTCACTAGGCTTACATTGGGATCTGGAGACAAAGCTCCAGCTACGGGGATCTTTCACTGCTCACTGTCTCTCGTGCATCTGTTTCTCTTGGAAAGCAAATATTTTTATATCATCAATCTCCAAAGCATGGGTAAAATGCAGGAGGCAGATATATTGAAGACCTGAACCCAATGTCATGATCCCTTAGTGAAGGCACTTAAGCAAATGTTTAAAAACTAACGTCTCTGCCTATAAAGACCCAATAAAGTTCTCCATTCAACAAACATTTAAAGATTGTTTGAGCAGTGGAGACAGAAGAATGACCAAAATCTTCTTGCCTTCAAAAAGCTCACAGCAAAAAAGACATGAAAACAATCACAACACAAACACTGACCAAGTATGTACAAATACAGAGACTACCCACAGGAGTTGGACAAGACTGAACCTTAAAGAAGCTTTAAGAATTAATAGAGATTTCAGATGGATTAAAGGGAAGGTATTCCAAGTAGAGGTTCCAACAGGGACCAAGACACATAGGTGAGAAATGTTGCTCCATATAGGGAGTCACCCAGGCAAAAGTGGAGTGGTAGATGAGGCTAAGGAAGTCAAGGATCAAATCATGAGCAGCCCTGTAGGCCAAGCTAAACAGTTTACTTTGAACTTTATCTACAGCTCTTAGGAAGCTACCGAAAACTTCTCAATTTGAGGAGTGATCTAATCAGGTTTGGTTTGGTTTTAATTGATCTGGGTTTTTAATCAAATTGACAACAGTGACTAATCAGACATATGCGTGTCTGTGTGCACTAGTGTCCATGCTGAAAAGCCTGTCTATGTGAGAGAGTTTTAGGGTATGGGGAGGAGTAAAGGAGTAGACCAAGAGATCGAAGATGACTCCCATGGGTGCTTAGGTGCTGTCAATCCCTGGGATATGAAATATTAAAGTGAGGTGCAAGTTTGGGGACAAATAAAAGACTCATAAGTTTTGTTTTTATATCTTGTAGATATTTTTTCTGTCTGTGGGAAATCTGGGTGAAAATATTACACCACCATTAAGTTCTATGTATCTACAGCCTAGGAAGAGGATCTGAATTGGACATTAAGACTTAAGAATGATTAGCATGATGGTGCATTCGACACCAAGGGCACGGACAGGATAACTCCTAAGTTTCTGATTGCAGCAGTAGATGCCTTTGCACCAGTCTTTATACATAGGCCAATAATCTGGACATGCTCATCAGCCCTTTTCGAGGAAAGCTGCCACAGGAGGTTCTTTATACATAGGTCTCCCTTCTTCATACTCTGAGACCCTATTACCTTGGCCAGAGCAAACTCAAAAAGGAATCAGGGAGCTAGATCCAGAGGCAACAACTGATAGGCCAGTCAGGAGGCTAATGAAGTGGCATCACACAGAGACCTACCCACAACCACAAGTCCATTGCAGAAAAATCATAAGTTTTCCCACCTATAAAATGATCAAATTTACTATCCACATGCTAGCACACTGACTCTTAACCAGTTTTCTGTATTGTCTTAATTCTCCCATCCATACCTCTAAGACAACTCCACATGAGATACAGAGAAAAAGGGTTATATCTCACATTGTGCAGTGTTTTTACTTCCTGTCACATATACATTACTCTCAAAATATCACAGGACTGAGAATAAAACAAAGGAAAGAAGCATTTTCACTATGCCTCCTAGCATTTTCAGTAAGTGCCATATCTCATTTAATTCACCTTCTCCATGAACACCAAATGAGCCACACAATAACCAAATAAAAAAAAAGATTAAAAAAAAATTGTTTTAGAACAGGAACACCTCTGAGGAAATGAAACCAAAAGGAGTAAGCAATTTATTACACAGCTAGAAGCATGTTGACTAAAGCTCAGCCTGCCTACAGTAGGTCATATACTTTGGAAATGTATAAAATTCTGGAGAATATTAAAGTTTATCATAATCTCGGGTATGACAACCTATAAAATTGAGTAATGTCCTCTGACAACAATTTCCATTCCAAATTGTACTACTTCTTACATTTGCATTACCTCTGGACATTTCCCTAAGTATCTCGGGTACCCTAAGGAACTTGGTACCATGTGACCATGGAGTCACCTTAGATTTTTACCCAGTTTTATTTAAATCTACCACAATCTAAATAATTTAACCATTCTACTGTTTAACCTTAAAATTAAGCTTTCCCTTCTCCCTCTTTAGTCTTTTTTCCCTGGTGCTCTTAAGAGATGGGCTGGAGGGAGAAAGTCGTGAACCCAATGAAATTGAATTGTATAAATGTATTTTTGGAAGAGTCAAAATTTTATGACCAATTCTACATACTTGGTCCACTAAGAACATTTCTTAGCCTGACAGCACTCAAGTTAACAAACTGTGTTCAATCAATACCACCGGCTTTTCTAGAGTCTTTGTATATTCCTGAGTATGAAAGAAAAAAAATCAAAGATTCACAATGTGAACTCTTTCCATAAGGATGTGAATCTTGCTGATTACTACTGAGAAGCTGCTTTTTTGGAAGGAAAAAAAAGCAACAGCAAGAGTTGGTCAAACCATCGCTATTACTTTAGGATTACCATTTATCACTGAAGTGTGAAATTTCTCCCTTCTGACAAACTTATCAAGGTACAGATAGAATAAATATCATTTATAGAACCCAGTGATTCATTTCAAGCCTGCCTTGATCTGAGAGAGCCGATTACTTTCCTTGCATCTTTCTAATGCACCAGAAAAGAATTTGAGGCTAGTAATTAGGCTGCTTCTGTGAATGAAGCAGGAGCATTAAATACAATAAAAGAAGTCTCGATGACTGAATATGGACATATATCATATTAGTCAGTATGGCAAAACATCATGGTTAGCTCTAAAGTACACGGCTCAACTAGTTTCCTTAGCTCTTTGGTTAACCAGTTTAGTACAGAACATTTCCTTTATGTCTGCAATTCTATTCGCCCCAAATGCTGCAAATACGATATTTAAACTACTAAATCCTCAAATGCGAGCGAGTCAAACAGCTAATAAAAGTCCAGTGGCAGCTTCAGAGAAGGGATAACGACGGCGTTCAGGATGCAGTCCGGAGAGGGGCTGCTAACTATTAGCACGGACATCACCTGTTCCCGGGGATGCGCTTTTAATTCAGCTCTCACGACGCAGATGAGGGGAGAGTCCGGGTGCTGCGAGGCGCCGCCAGTCCCTGGGCTTGGCAGCCGGTGCCCCTCCGGCCGCCCTGCCCTGCGGCCTGCAAATGTATCATTTCTGTCCCCCTGTCCCTCCTACCAGCTCTTAATTTTGTTAATGGCACCACCTTCATCTAGGCTCAACACTTCGAATCACTCCGGTCCATTCTGACGGCGCTGCCCAGCGCCTCCAGCCCTGCTCACCCGGACTCTTCAGGTTGTAGCGGGTCTCCATGTCTGGTCGCCGGCCCGGCTCCGACCTCCCTGCCCGCCGCCGCCGCCTCCTCTCCGCGCCGCCGGTGCCCGGGTCTCGGCGCGGCTCGGGCCGACTGGGCCAGGCCGAG